GGGCGGCGGCCTCGCCGGGGGGTGCTGGTGTCCGACATGGAGGGGATGGAGCTTTCGCTCAAGGAGCCCGTTCCCTGCAACGGCACCGACACGGGGACAACGCGCTCAGTGCGGGAAGGCAGCTATGTACCCCGGGCACCTCAGCTTCGCGGGCTCGAAGCGCCCGTGTTTTGGCAGCTGCAGGGCCAGCTAGGGACCTGCTCACAGCCCAAAACACGCCACGGGCTGCTCCAGCATTCTGAGCCCTTGCAGGGCTCAGCCCCACAGGGAAAGCTGCAGCAAGCAGGGACAGCAGGAGCTCCCAGGGGTTGGGATATCCTCCCTGGCTTTGGCAGGGTGCTCTTTCTAAGCCTCCTTAGGCACCCGGACAGGCAATTGTGAGCCAGCGGGGCTCCCGCAGCACCTACCTGCCTGTTGGGTGTCTGTGACCTGCCCTCGCTGGGTGACCGGCCCTCCGGAGGTTCGTCATGCGCCTGGGGCCTCCTCTCCTCCGAGTTGCAGCGGGAGATGTCCGGGGACAGCAGGTGCTTGCGCTCTTTGGATCGCCCCCGCTCCCTGCCACCCGAGCGGTGGCCGTCGGACCGGTGGCCTGCAGAAAACCCAAGTCAGGCCCTGAACGCCCAGAAATAGGGACGATGGGGAGACCAGGCATTGGGGCTGCCAGCAAAACAGCACAAGCCCACGCAGCGCGTGGCCTCCACGCGGCTTGGGCCTAGGCGCCAAAGTGGCTTCTTGCCCAACGGCACCGTCCTGGTCGCACTCACCCGAGTCGGCGTTGAGGCGCCGGGCCGAGAGCTGGAGCGAGGAGAGGTAGCGGCACCGCCGGGGAGCTCCATGGAGAACTCGTCCAGCCAGGAGCTGTTGGTGCGCTTGTCCCGGATGGTGGAGAACGATCGCCGCATGGAGCTAGTGTCTGTGACCACCTGCAAAGAGGCCCCGGGGCGTTAGTGACAGCAGGGGCTCGGCGGAGCTGCTCTGCACGGCAGCACTCGGGCGAGGAAAGGAGCCACGATGCAGTTTAGCTTCTGTGCTTCCAGGTTCCTCTGCCCCAGACTAGTGCTCATCGGGCTCTGAAAGCAAAGGGGACAACCCCACTTCCAGCCACGGCACTGAGCTCTAGAGCAAACCAGCAGCACCGGGCAGGGAGACAACGGGGGCTGCCGGAGCACTGCCCCCAGAGCTAACCCAGCATCACTGCCTGGTTTCAAAACTGGACGCTGAGCAGTGCTGAGCGGTGTCCGAGGAGAGAGATCTAACAGAGGGAGCAGAGGGCCTTGGTTCTTCCAGTACCTGAAGCCGCTTGCTTGGGGTTTATTTTCCCAGTTACTACCACTTTTTCAGATTCCTCCTTCCTCCATTCCTCCATTTCCTTTATACCTGAGCTGCCTTCATTCCCTTTTGCTCTATGACGCCCTCCCCTTGCCTTTCCCCTGTATTCCTTTCCTCTTCCCTTGCTCTCATTGTTGCTTTATTGTCCCACCAATCCTTCCCTCTCCCTTTATCTCCTCCATTCCTTCTCCCCTTTCCTACCCTCCCTTGCGTCCTCAAATTCTTTGGCACAGCATCACCTCCTTATGCATTTCCTTTGGTTTTATTTTACCAGCATTTTTCCTCTCCAGCCATGGGGTCATTCTCTCCTTCCTGTCTCTTCCTTCCTGACTCCTCATGCCATATCCTCTTCTGCTCTCATCCCCTTTCTCTGTTCAACTCCATTGCTTGAATGGTCAACAAAGTCCACATGGAACACCTACATTTCCTTTTCACATTCCTCCAAAGAATCACCACAGACCAGCACCAGTACCACGATGCAAGAGCCTGGTGTTGGCACCATCTCTGCTATGAGAATAGAGACCCGGAGACTTTGCAGCAAGAAGCTGCAAAATTGAATCCTATGAAAGCTTGTGATTCTTGGTCAGAACTGAATGCAGACAGAACAACAGAGAAACCAGGCAGACAAACAAGGAGGTGAAAGGTGGCCTGGGTTCCCCTGGACAGACTGTCCAGGGGTGCAGGTAGAGATGAGTGTGTTGGGAGAGTGGGAAAGGAAATAAAAGGCTCCAACATCCATAAAATGGTCTTAGATCTGGGCAGGGACTCTTTAAAGCTGCATCTAGCAGTGCTAGTCTGCCCAGGCGGTGCCCAGGGCTGGAGGAAAGGAGGGGTGTCCCTCAGCATGGGGACCGCATAGGAACATCCCGCAGGTCCCTGCTCCACCATGGACCTCCTGCACGAGCCCTCCCTTAGCTGCTCTCTGCTGCTGTCCCCACTGCAGAGAGGGACAGCAGCTCTCTCCCTCTGCGAAGCCATCCGGAGATGGAGAGATGCTCTCACGGAAGGCAGTGAGGGCCCAGGAGGACATTCTCAACGCGGAGAGAAGCACCAGTGTTACCTGGCAGGCTTTGCTGGGACTCGGCATCGATGGGGGCTTTCCTTGGTTTTACCTGGGGATCCACAGTGAGACGAGGCATGGAGGCGGCCCTCCCAGATACAGCGTGGTCCTGAGTGTCCACGGGAAGGTAGTTGCCACGGTTAGAGGGCTGCACTCTCTGAAATTCCCTAACCTCTGGCTCCTGGAAACAAAGACACAGCCAAACTCTTGGGATGGGGTTGGAGCAGAACAGCACGCTGCTTCTGCAAGTGTCTGCAGGGGAACGCCCAGGTCTCTCACAGCTTGGCAACCAGGGACAGGTTTTAAGTTGGCCAAAAAGTAACTCTAAGAAATATTACTAGTCATGTTGTAACTTAAAAATAATTTCCATTTCACAATCCATTGCAGGTGAGCCCAGAAATGGAGTTTCAGGTTCTTGCCCACCTGACGTTCAATTCACCTTACACTGTTTCCTTTCAATGATGATCTCCAGAACCCTGCCTGGATTTTGGTAACCTCCTGAAGGTCTGGCTCTAAATCTTTACCTTTTCTATTCATCTAGGATAGGAAGCCATGCCAAGGAACTATGGAAATAAGCAGGGCACGACATGAAGTGTGCGCAGCTTTGCTTTTTGGGAGGCGCCCTGTTGAGGAGGGATCTCAGCACTGCTCCTCCCTGCCCGGGTCACCACCCCAGCGGGCTGTGGTCACCGGCTTGGCCAGAGGGCAGGCAAGTGATTGGGGCAGATCGGGTGAGGGTTTGTGGTTGGACTCGATGATCTTAAAGGCCTTTTCCAACCACAGTGATTCTACGACAGCATGTGTGTGTGGTACACGACTCACAGAGAGTACTACGGACTCTGGGGGACACAGATTGGGCCGGAGATGCACAGTGATACAACACTGCAGGCCAACAAGTGTCGGGGTGGTGCGTGAGTGCACACACACAGACAAGGAAATATAGAGAGAGATATGCATATATATACACACACACAGAGACACTGCTGCTGCCGACCAGCAGGTGTGTGGGGCCAGAGGGCTGTGTGCCCGTTGGTGACACAGTTTCACAGCTGACTTTGGATCAGGGACATCGGCACTGACAACAAAATGAACACGAATCCAAAAACATCAGATACCATCACTCAGCATGGGATAACCCACTGAAATGAGCGCTCAGTGAAAGAAAGAGCAGCCTGTGAAGAGAAGGACATTTTACTGCAGGACATCAAACTGCGGTCATAGGTCTCAAGAGGCTGCACTGGTTGCTGTTTGGTGCCAGTGGCACAGAACCAAGGCCAACCCGGGGTTCCCTGTGTTCCCGTTACTCAGGCAGAGGCGAAGGGCAGAAGAACAGTGAATTTTCACCCTGTTTGGATCTGTGTGTGATCCGAAGGCTGCCATTACCCCGTTGTGCTCACTGCCCCTCACCCTGCCCATGCCACGGCCATAGGAAGCAGCATTTCACCTTGGTGCTGTTACACCTAGACCTCCCCTTGCCCGCCAGCCTCCTCGCGGCCAGCACAGGAAAGCACTTGTGAGGCCGAGCGTGACTTTACCAGGGACTGGTGCTCCTGGTACTGCCCATGTGCCGAATCCATGCATGCCAGCTGGAAAATCTCCTGCGGCGAGAGCGGGCTCAGCGAGGGGAACCCACTGCGGCTGCTCCTGCAAAGAGAGCACAGCTTCAGGGAGACCTCGGGCCTGCTGCTGCGACCACTGGGCAAGGCTTCTCCTGCAGATCCCCTTGCCAACCCACCAGGGCGTCGAGGCCAAAGGCCCCAGGACAAACACCAAGCTCCAAAGTTGTCTGAGGCTCAAAGGCTACAGTTTGGCCACCCCAGCTTGTTAAGAAGGACCCTATTTACTTAGTGCGGTAGCTCTCATGAAAAGGATCCACCTCACAGGAGGAGAGGAGGAAGAAAAGCTTCGGTGTTGTCCTGTCAACCAGCATGTAAATGGGAAAGAGAATTCAGAGACCAACACAGAGCCACCTGCCATGTGCTTTGCACACTCATCTCACAACCAAGGAGACCCAGGAGACTGGGTTCTGGCATGGTCCTGCAAGAGGAGTGTCCACGCAGGCATCCCTCTCATCTTCCCCAGCTTTGGTAGCTTTGCTGCTGCTGGTGAGGCTGATGCAAACCAGCTATCTGGGATCCTGCCCGCAGCAAACAAGAGCTTCATGCTGGGAAAGCTCTGCCCAGGGCCTGGATTTCCTCTCTTCTAGGTAGCCCTACTCGCCTTCACACTTCCCCAATGCCAGCTCCAAAAAAACAAATGAAAGCAACAGATACAGCAAGTTAAAGGAATACTTCTCCTACACACACACCACCTCTCCTGTTCTCAAGACAGTACTCACAGGCCCGAGAGGGTGTCCTGCTGCAGATAAGGCAGAGCCTTCGCATTTGAGATGATTTCTTGTGGCAAGGAGGAAGGCTCCATGCGCTGGAACATTGGAGCATTTTTCTGTATTGAGGAAAGGAAGAACCTGAGCTGGCCAGAAGAACCTGAGCCTTAAATGCAGAAGGGCGTCCAGGGCATCCCCAATAAAACCCACTGTGCTTGGAGAGGTGACGGTGTGCTCCTGTTCCCTGCTGGTGACTGAGGATGCCCTGCACGTGTCACCCATACACCCCAACCTGTACTGCTATCCTTGCCCCTCACAGTAGGTGCCCAAGCCCACCAGCTCGCTGGCCGGCGAGCATCCGTTTAGCAGGGATGTGGTGGGAAGGGACAAACTGCCTGCAGCACCATCCCTGGGAAGATGCTTTGAACTCACCCATTCTGCCCACCTCGTGCTGCTCTTGAACCTCACCTGTTCCTCCAGCTGCTGCCTCTGCTTTTTCGCTTTGCTCTGCTTGTAGTAATCCATGATCATCATGGCTGCATATATTTTGCCAACAGTCAGGTCAGAGGCTGAGAGTGTAAAAGGGGAAGAGGGAAAGACACTGTCATTTTAAGAGAAACAGCAGGTCTGAAGGCATCAGCGCTGACCTCAGGAGGAGCCCTGACACCAAGTACCTCGGTGACCCTCCAGCTCTGCTCTCTGCTCTGAGGGAGAGAGAACTAAACACACTAAACACTCTGGGGAGAGATGAAATGGATGAAAATAATTTGAAAGCATCATAACAAAGCATCAAAATGCATATCTTTGTCACATCATCAAATGTAATGGAGCAAGCACTTCTCAGCTTTTGGTCCCTATAAAGCTCCAGAGATGACTTTGGATTTGGCCAAGGAGGGTACTGCATTTTTCAAGAGGGTTAACAAAGAGCCAGGCAGAGCAGGGCAGAACTAAGCTTGTCTCAGCATAATCCCTTCCCCTCTTCTCCTCCATCCGGGGGTTGCTCTGACCACTCCCTGCCCCACTCTGATTCAAGTGTGACAGGAACTTGGCAGTGATGCCAAGGGGCAGTGCGGGGAGACTCACTTTTTGGCATAGGTACCAACAGGTCAAGCACTTTCTGTGACAGATGAGGCCAAATGGTCAGGATCTCCTTTTGAAGCTCGGAGTCCAGCTGCTGCCAGTCGGCACCACCTGGAATAGCAGGGGACAAAAAGCCCACGTGCATCAACACCCAGCACCAAGGCCCAGCTAAACATATCTCTTTTCAGGCCCGAAAGCTAGGCTCACTTGCAGCACCCAGCAGCAACCAACTTTTCAGGCTGGGAGGGCCCCCTTGCAGCAGCGAGCTCAGCCTCCCGCACTTGCAGGCAAACTTTCCCATTGCCGTTTCCATATGTGCCTCCATCTCCAGTCCCCTGCCCTCCCACTCAAAGCTGCCATCTTCAAGCTCTCCTTGGGTCCATCTCTGCAGCTCCAAACCCACTCCAGCCCACACACACCTGCTGCTGCCCCACTTTCTCTTTTCTGGTAAGTGGATCATGTGCTGGTGAAAGAGCAGCTCAGCTCAGTTGAAATCCTTGATTTCTCATCACGTAGCTCTCTAGCTGGCAGTGAAGGGAGTCTCTGAGCTCTAAAAGACCCAAGCTCAAAGGCAGAGACCCAAGGCCAGAGCAAAGAAACTTGGCTAAGGCAGGAGAGACCCAGATCTCTACTTTATCTAGATAGAGCTTGAAATTGTATTTTTTTTTCTAAATGCAGGGAGCTGTCTGACCACTGGGATTTTGATAATATTGCCCTAGATTGGATTTGCTTCCCAGACTTGAGGTTTTCCCTGGGGAGACTTTTTGAAAATTGGATGTTTCCACAGAAAGCTTTTGCTTTGATGAATCAGTTTTGCCAGCAACAACAAACCAAGTCTTCCCGCTCTGGACATTTTATCTTCCATGCAAGACAGATTTCTATTCCTCAGTCAGGGAAGGCCAAACATGCATGATCTTTCCCCTCTTTGCTTTGCTTCTGTAGATCTGGAGGAAGGGAAATTCTCCATCACCCCTTTTCACATTTTGTGCACTGGATGTTATGTTCCATTTCTGCTTTCCAGGCAGAGTAGCTTCCAGTAGAAACCCAGCCAGGTCTTCCACAGAGAAATGGATTTTGATTTGTGACAGAAGGCAGAAGAAATTCACCTTTCTGGGTCAATCACTTCCAGCCACACTGCTGGTTCTGGGCAGCCAGACCCAGTTTAACTGTGCACATCATGCTCAGCCCGACCGAAGCACAACAGAGTGAGTTGGCTCCCTTCAGCCAGCACTGACAACTCTGAAATCCTCCTCCTCTGTCCCCTCTCTGTGCCACTAATGTTACCTTTGGCAATTTTGATGTCCAGGGCCGTGCGTATGAGCGCCATCAAGGTGGAGGTGAAGTGGACTGTCATGTCCTCAGCTACGGGCATGTTCATCAGCACCAGTCTCTGCGCAAGAGAGAGAAGAAAACAGCGGACGGAAAACAATATCGAAAAACACATCGACCAGGCTGGAGGAAAAGAACTTAAACATCAAAAAAAGAAAAAAAAAGGAAAAAAACAGGAAAAAAAATAAAAAGTAAAAAGCAACAAAGAGTGTCAAAACAGCACAGCCAAAAAAGAAGGGCAAGGATCACCCCCCCCACGCCCCGGCTCCTTCCACCCCAGGACACCGGCTCACTGCCTTCCAGGGCTCCTCCTGCACCCCCCAGGAACAGCCCCTGAGCCCCTCTCCCCGAGAAGGCGCCGGCACGGGGCCCTCATGGCACTTTTGGAAAGACACTCCCGAACCATCAGAGATGGGGCATGAGATCTGCTGCGCACGGGGAGATGAGGCTCAGTTTACCGTTCCCAGGTGGTTTGGCTTTCCGGCTCTCAACCCTTCCCGCCTGGGGCAGGGGAGAGGAGGGTCTCTAACCTCCAGGGACTTCAGATCAACTTGATTCCTCTAGCATGCTACATCCTGGCGCCCCCTTTTTGTGTCTTTCAGAGATGAAGTTTGCCAGCACATGCACAAGGTCCGAATTATCCGAGGGTGGGGAAGGGAAGAGAAGTGCAGATGGAAAAAGAGAAGGGAAACCAAGGCAGGTTAGACACGCCATGCTCCTTCCCCACCCTGGGCAGGCGGGGTGCAAACCGAAGTGACCAGATCCACTTTCCAGAGAGTATATTTTGCTTTGTGATTACCTTGGATCATCCCTTTCCCACCCATTCCTTCTCTCCTGGCTTCTCATGTCCTTTCCCTGCCTTCAACCCTCCCAGCTCCTCCTGAGCAAGTGCAGCAGGGGGTATATGCACATATCACCAAACGTGTGAGAGCGGAGAGGACGGCAGTGCGTTTGCAAGTGTGCAGGTGTCGACCCACAGCTAGCACCTTTGCCCACACACTAGAGAGTCTATCACCAGGCAGACGCCCGTGGCCAGGAAGGGCTTGTTTGCTCCAGACCTGGGCTGTGCCAACACTGCTCCACATCTCTGAGCCTTTTCCTAGTGACCACTGCCCTTGCCAGAAGCTTGGGCCAGTGGCAAACCATCCACTGCTCCCACCCAGTGTCCCTTAGGACTTCCTGCTGCTCCTGACCTACAGCTCCACAGCCAGAAGAAAGCAGTGCCAGTGCATGCTCCAGGAGCGAGCTACGGGGAGCTTCATAGGGGTAAAACCCAGAGCCTCCTTTTGAAGTCGCTGCTTCGTCTTGTGTGCACCTCATACAAGCCATCCTTGGGATGGCCTGCAGCATTGTGCCACTCCAAAACTGGCTCTTCCCATACTGCAGGGCTGCTCCTCCAGAATATTCCCTCAGTGGCCCACCTCCTTCCCATCTCCTTGAGCTTGAGCCAAGTTCCTGCACTGGGTGGGCCAAGCGTGGTTCCAGGACGAGCGACCCCAAAGCCAACTGGGCCAGTGAGCTCTGAGAGATGTCACAGCCTCCTGAACATGCCATAGGGCAAGTCATCACCTCATCTTCTCCAGCCCTTCAACTTCCCCAACTCTCTCTTTTTCTGACCGTGTCCCTCCTACTCCACTGTGGCCACCTGCCCCTGAGCTCCCAGCGTTTGCGAGTGACAATGTGAGCGTCACGTGCACAGACAGCAAGCGTGGCCGGAGCTCGCCTGTACACACCACGTTATTCCCGGGAGTGAGCTAAAGACCTGTTGAAAGCCCCACGACCTCCCCATCTGCCCCCAAAGTCCCACCTCCCGCCACTCCATATTAAGCCCCAGCTCCTGCTCAGCTCTAGCCCGCATAGAAGGAAGGGTTGGTCTACCTTATAGGCCACTTTGGAAGGACATCTCTTGCCGAGGCCTAGCGGTGGTGACATAAGAGTCAGCATTTCATACATCTCAGTGTAATGGATTCGGCCACTGCTCATGAAGGGGGAAGGGGAGGGAGGGAGATGCAGAGAGAGAGGAGGCATTCCCAGAGAGCAGAAAAACATACGAACAAAATAGTACAGGAAACAGGAGAGAAAAAACAAACGGACAAACAGGAAAAGAACAGGAAACCCATTAATCAAGGCAAATCATACATGAGAGACTGTCCTGATGTGGATTTATAGCACTACTCACACAGACCACGGACTGCCGGTGCAAAACAGCTCACCCTCTCCTCTCTGCTGCGGGCCTCAAGCACCTGTCTCGCTAGCCTGGCAGTTTTTCTGGCCTCAACCCCTTTCCTAAAGTCCTCCAGAAGTCCCCAACTTGTCCCACAGGTTCCAGGGCTGTGTGCGAGTGGTATAAATCAGATACACGGCACTCAAGCCATGGGTTATTTGAGATACGGTGGTTGGTATCACAGCGATTCAAAGTGATCTGTGGCCTCTGCAGCGTCTTCCCTCCCGGGGGCCTGGGTATTGCTTTACGTTGCCACCTAACCCATAGCCGGAAGGCTGTGTATCCCCATCTCATAACGTCTATGCAATTGGGAGGCAGCATCTTGCATAGAAGGCAGTGGGCCAGGGTCACTTGTCAAAGGAAGATGCCCAGTTGCTTCCGTCTGGCTCTGCGGATGGACCACTTTCCCACCATGCACCAGTGCAAAAGGCATGCTGAATTGGCTGAAAAAACAAAACCGGGAGGAAAAGTTGTACATGCCATGCTCCCGCCCTGGCTCTCTCCCACATGCGGCTGCAAGTTCCACCAGGATGGAGTTTAAAGAGTCTCAGCAGAGGCAGCTGTTTGGGCCTTCCAACATTGGGGTTCGTTTGGGTTTCCCAAGTGAGACAGCTAGGACGGCTCCCCACCTCGTGCTCCTCTGCTTTGTAAGAACCTGCCTAGGAGTGCTGCAGTGAAGAGCACTGCCAAAAATGGGCCACCCAATGACGCCCTGAGCTCTCCACCGGGCTGAAATATTTGGAGTGTGCCTTCCTCTCTCCACACATGTTGGAGACCGTGCAAATGTCATCTCCCAGGGATGCTGGGCTTGGCCGCCTCTTCTTGCCCTCTTACCAGGCTTCCAATCTGCACTGCAACATTCGGGATGGTTAATGGACAAGGACAATCTTGCAACAGTAAAGGCGTCAACCGTTACAGGGGAAGTGGCTGCTGGAGAGAAACCTGTCTCAGCTGAATCTGCCTGGGAGAGAGGGAACTGATGAAAAACAAAGCACTCCCTGCAGGATCCTGATCTCTTCCCCAGCCATCTGTTGAGCATATCATGGAAAGGGAAGATCCTTCCTCTTCTCAGGGGTACCAGCTAGTTTGAAGGAGCTCCCTGACCAAAGAGGCCCCCACCAAGATGAGTCCTGAAGTTTCTGGTGTGAAATAGAGATGCTGATGAGTAGTCAGCAGCCACTCTGCAACAGGAGCTGTTCAGCGTGCAGGCACAGAACAGACTGGGCAAACTCCATTCTTTTTGCAAACCAACAAATCTAAATGAGTTGGAAATAAGATTGATTGAGGAGAAAATATCCAGAGAGGCAGGCTCACCACTCCATAAGCACATGTGTGTTCACTTCAGCAAGTCGTGGCTGTTGCAGTGCCTGCCTAGATGTGGTTGCAGGCTCCTTTCTGACATCATTTTGGAAATTACGGCTCTTCCTGCCACTACAAAGGGGAAACAGAGCACGAGACAGGCTCAGCAAGCTGCGAGCAAGTGCTTTGGGTTTGCATGTTGGTTTCTGGCCCATGGTGGCAAGATTTGACCGTCACGTGGGTTTTCTTTCTTCTTCAGATGCTTTTCAAGAATGGTTCCAGGCCGAGAGCAGGAATCTCTGAAAAATCCTTCAGTGAAACGCCTCCTGCTCAGGGAAGGAGAAGACCAAGGGAGAGAAGGGAGAGAGGGCTGGAAGGGTACAGCCTATTCCACATGACAGTAGAAGCTAGTCTTGCTCTGTCTGCCTCGGTTTCCCCCTTGAGCTCATTCTTCTCATCCAGCTCACTCGTCACTGTTCTGTTCATCCCACAGGGACACTGTGAGAGATCCTGCAGGGCTCGCTCTTATCAGGAAGCATTACCTTCCTGAGCATGTCTCCTTGCAGTAGATATAAGCCGTAACTTTGTCAGCACTAGTGAGTGCAAAAAAATCTCTTTCAGGGTGCGCTGCTGTGTGAGACTGGGCAAAATAAACCAGGAAAAAAAAAAAAAAAAAAAAAAAAGCTCCAGAATATTCATAGCGTGATTTCTGAATCCTTACACATGGGAAGCACAGGACCCACAGACAAATCCATCCTGCTGCGGACTTGACTGCAGTCATAGTGAACAGCATTTGCCTTGAATCTCTCCTTTCAGATCCAGAGAAGTCTATGCCAAGTAGGTCACTGCACCAGATGATATGGTTTAGGAGAAGAGCCTTTGCCAGCGAAACCCTGATGGCAACTGAAAAAAAAAAACTAGAAATTCCTCCTGCAGGGATCTGAGCACGTGACCTCAACAAACCTCCTTGTCCTTTACCAAAGATGCAACAGAGACGAGTGAAAAGAGCGCAAGGATCTGTTCCTTGAATGGGTGAAAGAATGTGAGATTCTTGCGAGTACTTCCCACCTTTATGTAAAGGGCTCTTCATAAAAGAGATGATGCAGCATTCAGGCCTTGTCTCACTTCCTCTGCTTTACTTCTGGTGCTGGTCTGTCCTGCGAGATTTCAGATGTGCACAGGGTAAATCCTTAATTCTCGGATGTGCTGGAAAGCATAAAGACCTCCCGTGATGTGAGGGAGATGAAGATGGCTGGGACAGGGAGAACTTTCTGGTTCCTCTTGTGACTTTTTCTGTGTTTCTTGCAGTCACACACAGCCATAATCACTTTTTTTTTTGGCACATCTTAGCTCTCTTGCTCATGGAAATGCACTGGGTGGATACTGGTGAGAAGTGCTGGAGGATGTATACCCGAAAAGGAGTCAACTTTCGCAAAGGAAGGCAGATTTTTGCCCTGAAAATTGGTGCACTCTTATGAACCCATGGAAGGCAGACTCTGGGATTCACATCAAGAATGGCCACGGAGGGTGACAGACCCACTTCAGTGACGCTGTCCTGAAGATGCATTCCTGACACAGCGGGGAAGATCTGGAGGCTACATCACACCATGAAGAGGAACCATCTTCTCTTCTAGAACAACAACCTGCAGATTGGAAACTTCTGTGCTTCCCTCCTATATCTTCTTAGAGACTGGGAGAGAATAGGAGAGAAGGAAGAGCCCAGTGGTCTTGTGCCACGGACAGGGCCATGATGACACTTCAGAGAAGGTGGCTTCAGAGAAGGTGCATCATTTTACTTGGCTGCCACTCCAAAATAGAATGTAAAAGAATGTGCACGCTAAAGATTCATAAGGAGGCCAAACTGCTGCTTCAGATTCATGTCTAAAGTGGCCCAAGCAGAGGAAGAGAAGTGGCCGAGCTCTGAAGATCTGGGACAAGTCTGAGTGGCTGCTGACACCTGTAGGAGAGGCACAGCCCGGGCACTGCAGAAGAGCATGGCTAACACAGAGCCAACAACGCTCCATCTTCTCACAGCAGGTCCAGCCAGCCAAGTGCAAGATTAGGAAGAGTCTTGTTCCCCAGAGAGACGACCGGGTAACATCCAACACCACACTTAGAGCAGGTGCTGTGCCTCTGTCTGGCATGGCATAGAGTCCCTTGGGTCTCTCCAAGGAAAGGGGTCACTCTGGCCTCTTCTTCCTCCCCCCAGCCTCTGTCTCCAAATCAGCGACAAAGCGCCCAGCATCCTCCTACCTTCAACTTTTCCCGTCCTTTTCCAGGAGTAAGCCATATGTGAGCCCCACTCACCAGTGGGGGGTAAAACCTGCTCCCACTGAGGCTACTTGTAGAAGCAAAAGGGACCAGGGCCACCTGGCCTGGCAGCCCCACAGCTCCGTTGCAGGAGCGCTCCCTCCCTGCCAGGCACAGGGAGCTGGGCAGCACAGGGGCCGACAGAGCCAGGCGGGGGCTGGAATTTGTTGGAACCCACCCCGGGAGGCTCTGGGCCCCCCTGGACCCCTGCGGGGACAGCTGCTGGCTCTGGGAAGGCGCGGACCTCTTTAAACTCGAAGGAAAGCAACATCAGGGTTCCCTCGGGAGGCGCAGTGGTGGTGGAGCGAGGGGGGAAGGAGGGGTGGATGGTGCGTCCCGTGGCCAGGTTGTGGCGGAGGACTGGGAGGCAAACCTTGCACGCCACCCTGTAGGGGCAGTTCTCTCCTAGGCCCAGAGGAGGCGAGATCACCCGTACTAATTTGTACATATCCTTATACGAGATCCTGCCGCTGCAAAGGAAGCACAGGTGGGTTAATAGGACACTGAGAGGGTGGAGGAGAGGATGGAGAGCTTAACTGAGGGGCTGGCACTGTCTGTGGGCCAAGACCTCCAGGGGTCCAAGTCTCTTCTCCTTCTGGCTCTGTCAGACCCAGAAAGCTGTGAACTTGCTTAAGCACCAGCTACTGCCTCTCCGATGCAAATCAATTCATACCTCCTCATACGGACCCACACTGGAGGGGACAGTGCCTCTGGAGAAACATGGCTTTGGGGGTGACCACTATCCCCATTTCCTTTCCTCCTAGCATCCCTGGCCACCTGAACCTGGTGGGAGAGGGTTGGGGTTTTACACAGGGTGAGGGTGCAACTTGCTTGGGTTCTAGAAACAACAAGCCCTTTTGATGGAGTTGTGTCACATCACACCACGAGAGCACCAGGCCTTGCGTGGCCGGCTCTCTGGTCCTCGAAAGGTGCCAACGAGGTTGGTAGCTGAGTCAATTGTATCTCCAAAATCTGGGGAACCTGAGACAGGGAGAGATAATGTGACCAGCTGGTGACTGGTGGGTCTGGCACTAGCACCTAGGTCTCTTGAGGTCCAGTCCTGTGCTCTGACCACCAGACCACGCTCTGCCAAGGGTACACATTATTAGAAGCAATCCCTCCTGTACGCACACCCCTTCTCACCCACAGAAGCACATATTCCCAGACCCGACTCCAGTAACCACGGAATACAGCCCACAGCCCTCCTTCAGCAGCAGAAATAGTTAAACAGTCAAGGCCGAGAGCAGATCTAGGGTGCAGATGCTGATCTCTCGACACCAGCTCCACATCAGCGTCCTTCAGAAGGTGGGATCGTATTGGGTGGAAGCACTGAGGTGCAGAGTACTGCAGGCCTCCTGGGCATCCTTCGACAAGTGTGGAGGGAAACCATGCGAGGAGGCAAAGCTTAGCATCGCCATTCTGCCTGGCACCTTTGCCTCTCGTTTCTCCTCACCCTTGTCCTATCCCCGCTCCATTGCTGGCCAGAGATAACCCAACCATCTGGAGAAAAACAATCCTTGAGCATTCCCGGCACCAGACCCGACACGGTCTCCTTGCAAAGCCTTTCATGTGGCGTTCTTGGTTTTGGTGTCGGCATGCGGAACTGCCGCCCCGTCCAGGTAGCGGGACCCACTCAGATCTACTCACCCATTCCTCGGTCAGTGGCGGGGGCTAGGGCTGCCACCACAGCCCCAAAGACATTTCTGTGCATCCTCCCTGACAACTGGCTACATGTCATGACAAAAGTTCACTCTGACAAATCAGAGAAGGCCATGGCACCGAGTCGTGCTCTCAGTAACTGACCTGGAGACCCAGGCACCAATATGTGGGACAAGAGAATGAAATTCTTGGTGTGGAAAAAGCCCTTCCCAAAAGTCACATGTGAGAAACTCCACATTCAGCTAGCACTAAGCTGAACTGGGCTGTACAGAAAAGGCAAAATAAACTACACCAGGAACTCATGGTATTAGGCGTAAAAAGTCTTGAATTGGTCTCTCAAGGTGCAGGAAATCAGCAGTGGAGACGAAGAGTCTCCAAAAGGGCAGCGTGCGGCTGCCAAGGGCTCCAGAGCTAAGAGCACCTGGTAACAAGTCATGCTCAGCTTCAGCCCTGCTCTGCAGGAGCTACGAGGGGGCTCAGCGAGCTGGCGGCACAGAGCCGCTGTGTGCCCGTCTCAGGGCAGCCGTTGGCAGATGTCTACACAGAAGGAGGCTGACAGGGGTCTTCCCCCCATCGGGCTATCTGACAGGACAGCAGGGCAGTCCGCACGGCCAGAACGGAGAGGAACCTCCAGCACCTGGGATAAACACCACGACAAATCGTGAACATCTCTGGAGTCTCACCCACTGCTTAGCATTCAAGGCGCTCCTGCCACCAGGCATTGCAGGAACCAGCTCCGAGCAAAAGCAGCTCTGACCCTGACTGTCCCAGGTACCACAGCCAAAGGGTTTCCAATAACAGAACACAGAAATGCATATTTAAAACCAGCTCTGAGAGGTTACTTGGGAGAGAAGGAGCTGACTACATACCACGCTGCTCTGTCATACTCTGCCCAGATCCGTACAAACTCATCTAGATGGTGAGGTCCCAGGATGGAAGAATCCCGAGTCAGGTATTCAAAATTGTCCATGATGACCGCCACAAATAGGTTAAGCATCTAAGTGAAAGGGGAAAAAAAAAATTACTGAGACTTATCAAACCCACTCCAGGAGCTCCTGAGCTCCACATTGTCTCTCTTTGGGTCTCTGTGGGCCAAGTCCCTGTCAGACTGGGCCATCACAGGGGTTATCCTGAACATCCCAGCCACAGGAAAAAAGCAACCAGGGCATTCATGACAACCCTGTGGCTGGGGCACGGTTTAGGAGATCCAATGAGAGCAGGCCCTGCAAACTGCGAGCTCAACATAAAAAGAGGGAACTCACCAGGAAAGAGCAAAAGAAGATGAAGGAGACGAAGTAAACGTAGGCGAGATCAGTGCCGCAGCGCTCGTTCTCGTTCTGCCCCGACGTCGCCGTGGTGTCTGGCTCGCAGCCCTTGCCCTCCAGGCAGGACAGCATGATCTCCTGCCAGGCCTCCCCTGTGGCACTCCTGCACCAAGCAAGCAATGCAATCCTAGCTCCCTAAGCAGCGTGGAGGCAAGTCGGGAGGAGGAGGCTCCCAGGAAGAGCCTGGATAAGCAACCCCCCTGCTGCCTTCGGCACATCCCAGCACGCAGCAGAGCACTGCATCAGGTCGGCAGAGACTGAACTGTTCCCACAGGAGTGTGACCTAGCCAGGGTGGTGCTCAGCCCCTTTGGGGCTTTCACGTGGTTCTCTCAGCTCCTGTGGCCATGTCTTTCTTAGCTACTTACTAGCTAAGAAAGTACTTACTGCTACGTGGCGGCACCAAGGAACAGCCTGCAGGAGTGTGGGGCTCAAAGGGAGGCAGGCAGCTGGCCTAGCTCTGCTCCTGGTCACCCTGGCCTCACAAACAGTGTCAAAAGATTCTTTTATGGGTCAAAAACCGTTTGCTTACCTGAAGAGGAGCATCAGGGAGCCCAAGAAGCTGCGGAAGTTGTTGTGCCGGTTAATGTGGCTTTCCTCATCGAGCTTGATATTCCCAAAGACCTATTGAGGGAAAGGAAAAGGGATGAAAATCATAAATCCAGGATGAGAGCTGCTGAGCCAGGACATACACTGGCCTCCTCTGTAAGAGCACCAACAGGGACAGGAAAACCTGGCAGCGACCAGCAGTCAGGGAAGGGAGACCCGCGTCACCTTAACAGTTCCCTGGTATGTGGCAAAGGCTGCAAGAGGCCAAGCTGCCAGGGGAACAGCAGCACCCAGGACCTGGGATCCACCAAGTCCTGCCGTGGTGCTCTTCACTACTTTCACACAGGCGTTCGCCTCCTGCATGAGCAGGGAGCATCAGAACACAAGCGATATCACTCAGTGCTGGGTTGCAGTCCTGGAGCACTGGTAGGAGTGGACAAAGCCCCAGGCATGTGCCAGCGTGGTTGGGCACAGGGGTGACAGGTCTGGTCTGAATTTCGGGTGACTCCCACGCATGCAAAGCTCAGAAATGACTAAAAGACTTGTGTCAGATCACAGAATCATTACAGTTGGAAAAGGCCCTCAAGATCATCAAGTCCAACCATAAACCCATCCCCACCATGCCTGCTAAACCATGCCCCTAGGTGCCCCATCCTACACGTTTCTTGAGCACTGCCAGGGACGGTGACCCCACCACTTGCCTGGGATGCTCTGGGATCCTCTTCCATCCAGACTACCTGCAGCAGTGCAGGATAGACACACCAAGCTCAACTGCCATAGCCTGTTTTCTACTTTGGGAACCCTTTTCCCCCACATTTTAACAGCCCCATGCTGGCTACCCAGAGGGGTGTCCAGCAGAGGCCATCGGAGCCGATGGTGTGAGACCGCTCACCCACCAAACAGAGCTGGGCAGCCAACACCGGCCTGCCTGGACCCTACCTAGGATCCCCGGGGCCAAAAGAGGCTACGAAGCCCAAAATTGGAGTATATCATAAAAATTATACGATACAAGCAAGCCCACAGAAGGACATAAAAAATGTTCGTAAAGTGCCTTAAATAAGAAAAATGCACGGTTATTACTGTTAAATATTTATTTTACTTTCCGTGAATCTAAAAATACACTAACTGCAGAGTATTTTTTCCCCTGTACAGGTCTTGTGGAATGTGTAATTGTAGAATATTTTCTGCCTCCAGCTATTTTGCTCAAATAACGCCCACAGACTTTACTGCTTGGGGATTTGTTCACAATGGTGTTAAAAAAAAACAAATCAAATACTATCACACCGCAGGGAGGGGAGCTGAGTCAGATGGCAGTTGTTTAGAGCAGAGAACACCTGGAGCCAGTGCTGAGATGTGTAGGACCGAGCAGCCAAAAACAGTCACTCAATTTTCAGGGCCAGGAGAGAGGGGGTGGAAAGACTAAACACCAGCACTGCCATCCAAGAGGGAAGCCAGATTCTGTGTTTGAGCAGGTGGCAACTACGGTATCTACTGCCTCCCCAAAACCTACTTCCCCCACCCGGCCCTTCCTAACTGTAAGCATCAGGCGATCACACCAGCTACTGCAATGGCTCACCCAACAGGCTTCTCAAAAATCCTGAGTATTAATAGTCAAAGATGCTTCGTCAGATACTCAGCGTGGGTCTTAGTCATCACACTACAAAGCCAGCCCTGCAAGGCATTTCAGCACATGTTCAAGTGCTTTAACTCACTTTTTTTTTTTTTTTTAACTGGACTGGAGCCTAAAGCTCACGTTTTCTAGTGCTTTGAGGAACCCACCCCCAGTAAGTTCATTGCAGGTCCCCAAGCTCGAGATCCCAAGCAGATTGTCAGCAGTGTGGCTACCAAATGAGCCCTTCTCAGAGGCACAGGTAGATACTGGGCTGTAGGGAACAGTAAGATTTGCCATCCATTCGGATGGAGAACACAGAAAGCTGCTCAGTAGGTCTCTCAGACATGAAATCAATTTCTGGAGGCTGGTAGAGACAAGGAACTGGAAATGACAGAAGCTCTAAGACTGAAACGGGTTGTGATTTGAAAGCAGCTGCCCAGGCTGTCCAGCTGAGTCCACAAGGACACATCTCCCAGGGTCCAAATCACCCTGAGAATTGCCTCTCTGCACCCCTGGCCTTTTGGTGACGTGGGGAAGGTCAGTGCGGGACTCGACTGAACAAGCAGGCGGCCACCCCACGAGGGTATTTGCTTCTACAGCTCGGAAACAAACCATTCCACCCTCAGACAGGGAGGGTGCTCCACCACGTGTTCCACCTGGATGCCGTGACCTAGTAAAGCCATGACAGGCAGGCCAGGGCTAGCTCTTGCTTGGTGTAATGCAGAGGATGACTTCGTTCAGCCTGTCTGCTCCAGAGAGATGCAATCCTAGCTGTCTGTGCTCACCTGCATCCCAATGATCGCATAGATGAAAAAAAGCATCGCAATCAAGAGGCAGACATACGGGAGCGCCTGCAAGAGAAGCATGTGAGTCATCCCATTTAGCACAGTCCAAACGCACATCGGAACAGCCTGTGTTTGGGAGCTTCACCCCAAGCCTCATCCAGCCACGTGGTGTTTTACCTTGAAGGACTGCACAAAAGTCCAGAGTAGGATCCGGATCGTGTAACCCTGGCGGAGCAGCTTGATGAGCCGAGCAGCCCGGAACAGCTTCAAAAAGCTCATGTTGAAGCTGCTGGTGTTCACCAACTGGGAGGAGATCGGAGCATCAGAAGGTGGCAGAAACCCCCACCCCTCGACACCCTCCCAGCCCCGGTGCAGAGGCGGACACGACACGTGATCCCGCACACGTTCACCTTGGTGTCCGTCAGGATGATCTCCGTAATGCTGCCGATGACAGTGATGAAGTCAAAGATGTTCCAGGTGTCCCGGAAATAATTCTGCAAAAGAGAGGAGAGAAGGAAGATGGATTAGAGTATGGTGACAGTAAGTCTGAACGGCACTGGGACACGGGCCAAGTCTTCCTTACAGGCAATGATGACAGCGGCAGAGACCTGGCCATCCATTTGTATGCTGCCAGAGTCTGGAGCAGTGTCCTGTGTCTGCGACAGTGACAGCCCAGAACGTGTTTACAGCGAGCAGCTTTCCCTAGGAGATGACTCAGGCGCCGCACGGGCCGTGCTGCTGAAAGGGAGGGCCCAAGCAGCGCAGCTTCTCCGAGCTGCTCCGGAGGAGCCCGAGGGGCAGGATCTCCAGGCTCAGCGCTGCTTGTTCGAAAGCAAAGCGGGGACGAGGGTAAAAGCACTTGAAAATCAGCCGGGAGCGAGAGGCACGGGTCCTCAATTCCCGGCCCCGCCGTTCCATGGTGAGGCTCCGCAGCCTCCCACGCAGACCCACGCGTCGCTGCAGCAGCAGCGCCCTGCCACGCTCCGCCACGAAGCTGCTCCAACCCTCCATCCGCAGGCCCCAGGTGGCCTCGCGCTCCCGGGGGCCACTCCCCCAGCACCAGAGCTGGGCAGGTCGCCACACAGAAGTGGGGAACGCAGCCCCTCAGCAGCCTGGTGTATCCTAGGCAGGCTGCAAAGGTGGCGAGGAGCTCAGCTCGTCACACTGGCTGTTACTGCTACACGGCTGCTCTGTCCTCTTCCCTCTGGGTACAGACCCGTCTCAGCCCTTGCTGTGTGAAAGGGGCTCTTTGAGCAGCACCTGGTGGGTGCAGCACAGGACTTGGCCACAACCTGTCGGGAGCAGGGAGAGGGACTAGAAACCCTCCTGCATTTGAATCTCACCTACTGGGTCACAAACAAAAAAGAAACCAAAAAAGAGCAAATCCAACAGCTGCTCATAAGCAACAAATGGTGGCTAAAGAAAAGGAAATCTGCGGCTGCAAATGTTAAACAGGCATCCGGGGACTTGAGGAGTGGGCACTAAACACGAAGGCCTCACCACCGGTTAAATGTGGTTCACATGCAGCCCCAGCACAACAACAGACTGGCATCTCAGCCCCGCTCCTGCAGACAGGCGGGCGCACAAACCCCGCTCCCCACCCAAC